TATAACATACCTTTTTGACCAATTGAGTCGTGCAAAGTATTTTTCCAAATTAGATATGAGATTGGGCTATTATAAAGTAAGAGTTGTCATGGGAGATAAACCGAAAGCCCCCTGCGTGAAGTGGTAAGGTGTATTTGAATTTCTTGTTATGCTTTCTAGACTAACCAATACTTCTGCCACATTTTACACGTTGATGAATCAAGTTTCTCACGATTATCTGAACAAGTTTGTGGTACTCTACTTGAACGATATCGTCGTGTACAGTTCAACCTTAGAGAAGCGTCAAACGCACTTGCAACAAGTCTTTCAAAAGTTACGCGACAACTAGTTGTATGTGCAAAAAAAGCATGCACATTCGCACAAACTCGAATTCAGTTCGACCAAATAATTAACCAAGGTCACATCCAAATTGATTTGCAAAAGGTGAAGGCTATCAAAGAATGGGCCAACCTTTAAAATACAATTGAGCTTTGTTCATTCTTAGGACTAACAAATTATTATTGAAGATTCATGGAAGAATATTCAAAAAGAATGGTAGTACTCAAATTTGTTGAAAAAAGGGAAAACTGGAGTTGGACGTCGTAGTGCCAAAGAGCTTTTGGAAGCTTGAAAGACACGGTGAGGACAGACCCCATTTTAACACTCTAATATTTAAAAGCCCTTCGAGGTACAAACAAATGCATCAAATTTTGCCTTTGGAAGAAAGTTGTTACAAGGACACCAGTTGCATTTAAAAGTTGTAAGTTGAATGACACATAGAGGAGATACACCGCACAGAAGAAAGAACTAGTAGCAGTGATTCATTATTTACGGGCGTAGTGACACTACTTGCTAGGATCACAATTCATAGCTAAGACTGACAACACCATCATAAGTCACTTCCTCACCCAACCAAAACTTACAATCAAGCATGTGAGATGCAAAGAGTTCCTAGCCAAGTTTGATTTCTCTTTGGAGCACAAAGCCGAAAGGCAAACCGTGTATCAAAAGCCCTGAACAATAAGCCAGAATTCATAGCTCTCAAGATGATAGAGCCAATGACAGCCAGCAAAGTGACCACAAATATCCATAATTTTATTGAAGAAAACTTCCATCGAGATCCCCAAGTAATCGCCATTATCAAATTAGTGGAGAGTGAAAAGTCGAAATTCTTTTGAGTGGAGAATGGACACCTACTAACGAAAGGGTCAAGCATATTTGTTACAAAGGCGGAAAAGTTGAGATAGAAGATGCAAGAATGTCACAACAACCCTTAGGAAGGACATCCAAGCTGGCAGCAGACCGTTGCACTATTGAAACAAGGTTACTGTTGACCTCATGCTACAGGATATTATGGATTATAATAAGATGTACCCCATTAGCCAACAAGACAAAATGGACAAAGATCGACAAGAATGCTCGAACCTTTATCAATATCGATCAAACCGTGGAAAAGTAATTCTCTAAACTTCATAGTAAGACTTTCGAAAGTAGGAGATATGACATTGATCCTGGTAGTGGCCCGTTTCTCATAATATGCGACATTCATCTCGGTGCAAAAGTTTGCTTCCGCAGAAGAAATGACTCATGATTTTTAAACATCTAGTAAAATATTGAGGTGTTCTTAAAAGTATTATCAATCACAAGAATCCAAAGTTTATCGAATTATTCTAGAATGAGCTTTTCAAGCTATTGGAGTCAAAACTCAACATCTCTACTAGTTATCATCCGCAAACAAATGGCTAAACAAAACACCTCAATGAGTTGCTAAAAGAATATCTATGACACTTTGTACAAGCGAATCAAAAGAATTGGCCCAACAAGTTAAACGTGGCTCAGCTATGTTTCAATTCGCAAAAAAGCTCAACCAGTTACAAAACTCCTTTTAAAGTCGTCACTGGATAACAATCTAGACTTCCTCATACCTCAGTGGAACATATACTAGAAAGAGTTCCCGAGCATTCAACTTTGCTAAAGAGTGGAGACAAAACACTGAAATTGTCAGATCATAATTAAACAAAGCCTCCAACCGCGTGAAAAAGTGAGCAGATAAAGATCAAAGGGAACAACACTTTAAGGTGAGAGACCTGGTGCTTGTGAAGTTGGTACCCGAACAACTCCAATTCTTAAAGAAAAGGGATAAGAATAGTGCAAAAATATCAAGATACAGTACCGATTATTGCAAAAGTTGGAAGACTTCCGATAAGATTGATATGCCCAAGCGATGAAGGTACACTTCGTGTTTCATGTCAGCAACCTGAAGCCATTCCATGCAGATCCAACAGACACAAACAGCAATAAAGGCATCAAAGCTACCATCAACATTAAACCACCATCACAGCATAGAGGAGATTTCGACAAGGAGGACAACGATAATCAACCGACGACCAACACACAAGTATCTAGTGAAATGAAAAAGTTTGGAACCAAAAGAAATCACCTGGGAAAAAGAATTCGACCTTCGCACCTTCAAATAGAAGATTGAAGAATTCCAAATCAACCAGTCAACGGGGATGTCGACAAATTGACTAGGAGAGGATGTCATAAGCTAACCTCGTATAAA